ACCAACTAATATTAAAATTAAAAAAAATAAACAAGTAGGATGTAAATAAAACGAACTACTATGATCGCATATATATATATATATATATATATATATATATATATTGTTTGTCTTGATGATGAGCAAGAAGTAAAAATAGAGAGAAAGAATAATTTTGGTGATTTTATTCTCTTTGTCTTTGCGTAATTAGGTTCAAAAGTTTGATCGAAAGAATTAGGATAACCGATAAGCATAAATTAAACATGAAAATAATATCAAGAGAGCAAGGATAATAAATAAATAAATAAACAAATAAATAAATAAATAAATAAATAAATAAATAAACAAACAAACAAACAAAGAAAGAAATAAATAAATAAATAAATAAATAAATAAATAAATAAATAAATAAATAAATAAATAAATAAATAAATAAATAAATAAATAAATAAATAAATAAATAAATAAATAAATAAATAAATAAATAAATAAATAAATAAATAAATAAATAAATAAATAAATAAATAAATAAATAAATAAATAAATAAATAAATCAGTAATGAAACCTTGCTCTGAAACCAATGTTGAATTTTTGATAGAAGAGATGGAACCACTAATTCCCAGAAATTGATGGCAATGTCTTGAGACTTGGGATTGCAGAGATCATGCTTTACCAAAACAATGAGAACTCTGAGATTTTCTGTTTTCCCCTCTATGGCCATGAAACTCCTTAAATAGGGATGAGAAGAGGCCGTTCTCCAACGTTCGGCTTCTTCCTGAAATCTCTGAGAAAAAGTGACCATCTAATCCTGAGAGATGGGTAGTTATTTTCCACCAATTGGATAATGACATCTTCTCTCTCTAAGAAGACCATTTTTATTGATTAATATTAAACTATATGATGCAGATAAAGAGAGAGAAATATAACACGTTTAAAGGCCCATAGCCACCCACACGTACCAACAAAGGGATGCACATGCGCCCTGAGCACAAGCGTGTGGATGCATTATGGGCTGTGTGGTCCCTTGTTGTTTTCCGCTGGTGCACTGGTGGACCACTCCCTTCTTCCTATGACCAAGCAAGGCCTCAATGCTTTGGTAACCCCTAGGACCATTCAACGAAGGTGGTCCTATAACTATTATTACTTAGGTTATAAAGTTTCAGGCTGAAGTTTTGGTGGGTCGTATGTCCGTCTAAAATTCTTCTTAGAGGATAGTCCATCTCCTTTCGAGAGAAGGATGGATTTTAGATCTAACATTTAGGGATAAATAATTTTAATAATAGATCATGAATATAGAAAACAATTAAATTTTTTTAAATTAAGAACAGTATTTTTGAAATTCTTTAATCATTCATTTATTTCTTCACAAGTCATGGGATCTACACTGATTTTGGAGCTACAAAATACTTGATCTAGCGCAACTGCATTTTCAGTCGTTTTACCTCCAAAACCCATAAAACCCGGGGTGGAGAATTGAGTCGAGGAACTCAGCCAGACTTTCAAAAAGTTATAGCAAGCCCAAGGAAAGCCCCCAAAAAAAGGGGTAATTTTTACATATGGATCAGGCATAGTTGCTGAATTTACCTTTTGGTCTATAAATTTGGTAAATTTATTGTGAGGTTCCGCTCTGTTTTTTTTTTTTCTCTAATTTTATATTTACTTTCATATTTCAATCATTGAAACACTAATTGTTTATTTGTGAGGCAGTCCGATGTCTAAAATATCGAACAGTGTCCAATGTCAAAAATATAGAACCGCCCATTTGTAAGGTGTCCAATGTCTAAAATATAGAACCACCCCATTTGTAGTCCAGTCTTATAGGCCATCATTCTTTTTAGGGATGTTCGATGTTGTAACATTGCCCCACTAATATTTTACTATTTTTTTATATCTTAGCGATCCGCGCATTCAAACATTAGACTGCAGATACTTAAGAAAAATATTAGTTCAAAAGCATTCCAATGTTCGAAATTTTGGACTCCTAAACTATGAAAAAAATATGAAAAAAAGGCCGTTCTTTATTGTAATATTGGGCTACTCCATAGACAACCTTGGGCAAAAACTTTACTACAAAAATGCCATGGTTTGATGTATTGAGCATCAAACTGCTCACAAATGTCAACAAATTAGGAAACAACAAAAAGCAAATTGGATTTGGGAAAAATTAGGAAACATCATAAAAATGGGGAAACTAGGACCTTATGGTAAAATTACTGAACTTTACGACTGGCAATAGGGCCACATTTTGTGGCCTAGGCCATGTTTTTAAGGACCAGGCCATGTTTTTAAGGACTAGGCCGATCGGAGAAGGCTGGACCAACCGATCCATTACCAGTCTTGAGGTTTGGTAATTTTACTGCAACGTCCTATTTCCCCCATTTTTTATCATTTTTTTCTAATTTTTCTCCTATTTAGATGTTTCAAATATGGACCCAGTTTCCATGCGGCCAAGCCCACATATATAGAAATGGAGCCTATTAATAAATTTATTTTTGAGATGGATTTTTTGACTTAATTTTTAAGGACATGTAATCTCTAACATGGAGATGATGAATATGAAAAAATAATTAAATTTTAAAAACTAATTCTTGTAAGAAACATTTGGACTGTTAGCTTCCATTGTTTTTAGATGGAACACCTCTAGCATCCATCTTTAAGATGGATGCTTTACAAGTTTTGGACCGCATATGTAGTCATGCGGTCTAGCCTGCATGAAATAATTTTCCTTCAAATAATGAATTGCTTATTTTTTATTTTGAAATTTTTGACATTTTGAAGGGCAGTCCAATGTTTCATATATCAAACTGTCCCTTTTTTAGTACATTTTTTTACCTAAGGTTGTCATTGGTCCATCTTTTTCTATAGTTACCTATCAGTGCCAGGACTTGCCACGGCTGGCCCTGTAAGGACCAGGGCCGAGGGTGACATGGCCCGGCCCATTGTCACCCTTGCTGAGATCAAAGGTAAATTTAGTAATTTTACGCGGTCTGTATGTTAGAATACCAATAAAATGATTTGGTAGGGCTTCAACCCTATCAAAATAAGTAAAGCTTCACTTAATAACTCACTAAAAATTGCAATTCAACCCTTATAACATTTTTACATTGATTAGCAAAGCATTTTCAGGAACATAAGGCATATAAATAAGTGTAATTAAAAAACCTTTAGAAGAATGTAAAAATCAAATATTATGCTTCCTCAAATAGGATATCAAAATGTTGGTATTAAGAAATAAACTGTACAAAGTATGTAAAAACTCAAATGTCATACCTCCCAAAATGAGATATCTAGATATTTCAAAGTAGTAATATTGCCTACACCCAAATTTATCCACAACAACCCAGTATCTTAGACATACTCTATGGGATTGTCTATAAAGAGACCATTTATCTTTTGTACATGGAGGTCACATTCATTCTCAGTCATTAGATGGCTTGCGGTGAGTCACAAAGTTCGAGATTTTTTTTTTAACTTTGTTTTTTATTCAATGGCACTCTTACAACCACCCATATAGAAATCTAAGGGTCAGTTTGGATGTCAAAGAAAAAAATATTCACATTGAAAAAAATGTAATTTTTTCCTTTGCAATTGAGAAATATTATCGTTTTATTTTATTATGTTGGTAAACTGTTTGGATGTTTATTAAAATATGAGAAGAAAATTTTATTTGCTAGATATGTCTTTTTGGATGCGTTGTAATAAATTCTAAATTAGTATTTTTCTTTATTTTTTTCAGTACATAAAAATGTTTGACCAACATTGATTTTTAACTATGTTCTTTCACGCGTTTGATAAACATATAATTTGAAAAATATAAATTATTCCATGGGCGTAGATAGGAGAATGAACAATTATACTTTTAAAAATGAGAGTTTCACACCATTTCCATAACCCACGAATGATAACCCAAGTAATTAATATTATAATCTGAAGTATTGGAAATTTTGCCACAAAAGAGAGTAATGGAAAATATGATTACAACCAATTATATTTATGTGCCATATTATGCTCAACAGTGAGCACAATAGTCATCTCAAAGTGTTTTAGCAATATGATCTCGTAGTTCATCGCCATCATTTTTATCAGCTTGATGGTTTACATCGGTATGTTGAATATTTGTTCCTTCAACTGATCCACGTGCGAGATCCCTATCATACTCCTTATAGAGCCAATCATCACCACCTGTTATAGTTCAGATATGATTATGTAAAGTGCAAGCAGCAATGACTATCTTAACTTGTGTTTCATAAGGATATGTTGTTGCCACTTTCAAAAGAGGGAATCTTGTCTTCAACACGCCAAATACACGTTCAATAACATTCCGAAGAGATGAATGACGAAGATTGAAGAGTTTCTTTGCATTTTGTGGGGCTAAATTTCCCCGACCTTAAGCCTTCAAATGACACCTCACACCCCTAAATAGAGCTATGAAGTCTCATGTGTTCGCATAACCCGCATCGACGAGATAATGTTTATCTGAATGCGTATAAACATATAAATGACAAAAGTTATATATATCTAAAAATAACAATACATTTGTAGGAAGTGGATGTGGACTATGACATTTATTAGCAACCTTGAAATGAAATTTAAATATTCCACCAAATATAAACTTTTTGAAGGGAAGGAAAATAATTGTGACCTTTGGGAACCTTGAAACCAGATTTTAGTGTAGCTTTTAACGCAGAAGAATCCGATGATGATCCCTCCCACCTAACAAGTACATATACAAAGCAAAGGTCAAAATAACTAGCTGCCATTACATTTTATGATAAAAAGCCTTTCCTATTCCGATATGGAGCTTGCTCTTCAACACCAATACTCACATGAATATGGGTACCATCTATTACCCCAATGCAATTCTTCAAAAAGTAAAGCAAGAAAACTTCAATTAAAATCAATCATCAGTTTCCCAAAATTATCGAAAGATACATAAATTTAAAATAAATACCTTGAAAAAAGGATAATACATGCATTTTTTACGAATTTCTGGAGGTGTATTACTTGAAGGTAAGTAAACATAATCGAATGATAATTTATATATTGCATTGAGAACTCTCTCAAAATGGCGACTAACAGTTTCACCAGAGTATTGAAACCGGTCTTGGACTGTGCGATTTATTGAGCTCTTCCCCAGGATGTATAAGAACATTGCCAATTGCTCTTCAACCTTTACACCTCGAGTATCATTTAGAAGATGTCTACTTCGAAGAATCTCACAAAAGTTTTGAAATACATTTAACTCCATATGACAAACTTGCAGGTATCTTTCCCTATGACCTTGAAGTATTTCTTCCATGTATGCATAGCCAGATAGAGATGAATTACGAAGAGGTAAATATCATTATAATTGCAAAGGGCAAGTGCAAGAATTAACTGCCCCTTATTCCATTGCTTCTCATGTCGTTTGGCCAATTCCATCTCAATCATGTTTCTTTGTTGATTATGCTTGCCTTCACTGTATAGAATAAATGAAAGATTTCTAACGAAATTGAAAAACATTATGTGAACAAGAGCACACGAAGACAAGAGATAGAGATGGGACCGTGAGTGACTGCAGCTCTGGGATGCTACGCATGCGAAGATGAGAGAGAGAGACGGGGCCGTGAGTGACTGTGGCTTCGGGATGGTGTGCACGCAAAGATGAGACAGAGACTGGGACGGGGGTTTGATGTGGCTTCAGGGTGCTGCGCAGCAGAGAGAGGAGAGTCTAGGGGAGAGACAGGACTACAGGTAGCTACGGCCCCGGGCTATTACGTAGGGAAGATGGGATAGAGAGAGAAAAAGGAAGGAAAGAGAGGAGAAAGAGGAGAAAGAGTGTGCTTGGGGTGTGACCCAACCTAGGTGCACCACCTTAGCCCCTTTGCTTGCACATGAGAGAGAGAGAGAGAGTCTAGCCATGGGTCAAGATTGCGATGCATGGACCATGGTGTAGGCTTGGGTGTATGCTAAGGGCTAGGGAGTATGAACTATGGTGTAGGCTAGCGTGTGTGGACTATGGTGTAGGCTAGGGTGTAGGCTAGGTAGTATGGGCTAGGGGTAGTTTCTCTCTCTGTCAAAATTTTCTCTCTCCTCAGCACTTGGTCCAAAGAGTAAGAAGCAAAGCAAAAATGGCTCAAGCTTAATGCTTCAATTTTACTAACTCTTTTCAACCCATTTACAAATGACTTGGGTTTCCTTATATAGAGCAACCACTAAAATAGGGTGGAATGCTAAAAAGTACCCAAATTGTGAAAAATAAATTAAATGGAATTAAAAGAAAATCTTATTTTTAGACATAGTGACCAAAATACCGCTTAGATCTTTTGAGCAAATGACAAAGCCATCCCTTCATAAGGGGCCTCTTGCCATTGCTAGACTTCGGGAGCTTTTTTGGATGTATGTGGCAATAATTCGAGCGATCAATCTTCGTAGAATTGATGCTTGATATATCGTGAACAATTTGATGCCCTTTGATTGTCTTGAAATGGACTTTTTATAAAGGATAAAAAATCCGAACAAGTCCATATGCTTTGACCATTAAGGTGGTGCGATTCACGATGTTTTGAGTACTCATTTTGATCACAAATTAAGAGCACATTGTCACGATCATTTTGTACTAAATTTCCTCCGATTTGGTTTGTGTTTGAGCAAATTCCAAATTTGGAAATTCACCAAAAAATGGGATTCTGACGACCGAAAAATCTTTCCTTTTTCAACCTCAAAATTCACACTATCCGGCTTCCAATTGTACACAAACATTATACCAAACTGTAGCCCTTCGCGATACAGTCGCAACGGATCCAAATTTGCGACGATCTAACACACGGATCTCAAGTTATAACTTCACGAAGTTTGGTATGTCTTTTTGTTTAAACTTTTGATTTTTATAGTTTTAGGCTCATCTTCTCTCTAGAAATTCTCTCGTCTCGGGCCAGGTCACGACGTGTGTCATATAAGGCTTTTCATCTTGCCATGACCATGATGTTCCCTCCATGGTTCATGAACTTCAACGAGGGATTGAAACAGCAGGGGGTTTTGGGGTGTTCAAAATGGGACCTTGAACCTGTTTGAGTTTCCCATGCACCACAAATCCTGATGTCCTTCCTTTGAATGCTTCGCATCTTTGGGCACACATGGTACAATCATTATTGTTGCACCAACATGTTAAAGAGAACATGAAACATCTTAGGAGAAGCTCATTCATAAGAACACTGCAAGATTGTTTTTCTTGCAATGTGACCATATGTTTGACCTCCATAACTTCTTTCCCCTTTTGAGACTTGTCTGACCTTTCTCTTCCTCTTTAGTGCTATGAGAAGCAGGGGGTGCTCTTATAGAATTTTGGGAAATTGATGGTTTAGGTGGTTCACGAGTTTGGCAGGTACATTCACAATGATTTGTCTTTCAGCTATGGACTTTTGTATGAATGTCTTGAAAATTTTACACTGAGATATCTCGTGCCCCCATACTTGATGAAAAGGACACCAGAGATTTTCAGTGCCTCGAACCAGATTCTTGGGTTGCCTTGGAGTAAGTGGAACAATCAACCCTTGAATTTCCAGCGTTGTAAAGATATCGAGAAGGAGATCAGACGACACCTTTTCAGGTTGTAAGGTTTGTATCTGCTCTTCCTGGACTGTGACTACGTGTGAAGCCTCAGTAGTCTCGAAAGATTTATTGAGACTATCCAAATTGATCTGCCCTTTTTGGTTCCAGGCTTCGATGTGTTCTTTAAGTTGAACATAGTTTTGTACAAGATGGCCTAACATTCGGTGATAGTAGCAGTAGTTTCCATGGTTGACTAGTCCTGCCTGTTCTGGACTTTTGATCCTAGGAAGAGTCACCATAACTTGCTCTATCAGTATCTTCAAAAGAGTTGGTACCCATGCTTTATTGAAACTTTATTGTTGGCTCAGCCTTCACTCGAACTGTTCGGTCCGATACAAGTTATGCGGCGGAGGTACCCTATTATAATTTTGTGGATAAAGCTGCTACTACTGCTGAGGTTCCCCTTGATTCTTGAATGGTAGCCCCAGAGAGGTGTTTAATGCTTGGAGAGGAGAAACATTAGCTAGGGGCTTAGTGCAGAGAGGGGGTAGCAGTGACTACTGCACTAACCGGGTTCTTGGTTGGCTAATACGAAGGTTTGACCTATTGCTGATAGGATTACGATTTTGATCTCCCCTTGAGGTCTGAGCTTGATTCCCACCTGGTTAGGTGCCTCGATCGCGCCTTCGGGTCGGGATGACCTGGTGGCACATATCTCGAGTTTCAAAGGGAACCTGGTACTAGAGACGATTCTCTCAGGAACCTTGTTACAAAACAAGGGCAGGTATACCAACCGGTGAGAGAGGAATTTAATGTGAGGCGGGAAACACCTCACATGGGTCCGTGACTCACTCTGGCTAACTCATGTGGGCGCCCTCTTAGATCACGATGAAAAGCCCCCTCAGTCCTTCAATTGGTTCAAAATCGCTTGTCTTGACCTGTACTCTTCTGTTTCTGCGATCACACACACATAGTTAATTTTACAAGACAAGTGAGCCAAGGGACCCCACCTTGTCTTTGGGCGAATGCACAATGGCGTGCACATTTGAAAGAAGAGAGGGAAAGAATGAAATTAAGATGGGGTCGATAAGAGGAGAAGGGAGAAATAGAATATAAGGAATAGAAGAGGAGAAAAAGAGATTTGACCAAGTGGCTAGACTGACACCGTAGTTAGACCAGTATAGTGATTAACCTGGTGTGGTAGCAAGACGGACACAGTAATTCAAAATGGCATGTCGGCAATACTACTCGGCGATAGGACCAATACCCACCATCCTGGCATAATAGCTAGCCTGTCGTGGCAGCAAGACGGGCACGATAACTTAGACTGGTACAACAATAGCACTACTAGACGAAGGGACTACCATGACAATGCTAATCTTAACCTTCCTTGGTCAAACGAGAGAGGAAGAAGAAAGAAGAGAGAAGAAAGAGAGGGAGAAGAGAAAATAGAAAAGGAGAGATGGAGAAGAAAAGAGAACAGAAAGTAAGGAGAGATAAGAGAGAAGAAAGAAAGAGAGAGAAGAGGAAGGGAAAAAGAGAGTAATAGAAAGGAGAAGAGAGAGAGCTGAAAAGAATAGAATAAAAGCAAGGAGGAAAGAGAAGAAAAAGAAAGGAATAGAGAAGGGAAGAAAGGAGAGAAGAAAGGAGAGGAGAAAGAGGAAGAAGAAAAATGAGAAGGAAGAAGAGAGATGTGAGAAGAGAGAGAAAGAGGAAAGAAAGGGGGGAAGATAAACATGGATGGCGATAGGTTCCGCCTTCCATGATAGAGGAAAGAGAAAGAAGAAAAAGAAAAGAGAGAGAAGAAAGAGAGAAGAGGGAGACGAGGGAAAAGAAATATAGATGACGATGGGGTTTTGCCATCCATTACAGAGGAGAGAGAAAGGGAAAGAAGCATGGACGACGATGAGGTCCCGCTGTTCATAACCAAGAAGAGAGAAGAAAGACATAAGCATGGACGGTGATGGGGTTCCGCCATTCATGACCGAGGAGAGAGAAGAAAGATAGAAGCATGAATGTCGATGGGGTTCTGCCGTTCATGACTAAGGAGAGAGAAGAAAGGTAGAAACATGAACTACGATGGGGTTCTGCCGTTCATGATTGAGGAGAGAGAAGAAAGACAAGCATGAATGATGATGGGATTCCGCCATCCATGACAAGAAAGGGAGAGGAAAGACAAAAGCATGGATGACGATGGGGTTCTACCGTCCATAGCAAAGGAGAGAGAAATAAAAAAACATGGACGATAATGGGTCCCGTTATCCATGGAAGGGAATAGAGACAAGAGAGAGAGAGGAGAAAAGAAAAAGACACGTGCTACAATAGGTATCGCCGTGTGCGTCGAAAGGGACTCGGACACGACCCGGCCCATCACTCTGGAAAGGGCCGGTTCAATATTCTTGTCAGAGTTTAAGAGAAGGAATGTCATGCATGGTGATGAGCATTGCCACATGCAACATGAGGCAAGAGGAACTTGGACAGAGGCCTGGTCCGCCACTCGGGTGAAGACTTGGCTCACTGTGCGTGCTCCAGGAGAAGAAGGACATCATGCCTGACGATAGGCACTGCTGTGCGTGAATGAAGAAGAGAGAGAAGAGTAGGGAAAAATAAAGAAGAGAGAGATTGAAAAAGAGTGGAAAGAGAAATGAAGGATAGAAGTGAGAGAAAGAAAGTGAAGAAAGAAGATCAGGAAAGAAAGAGGAAGGATTAGGAAAGAATGGAGGATGAGTAAGGAAAGAAAGCAGAGAAAAAGAAGAAAGAAGGAGATGA